GACATTTTCTGAATTCTTTTAATATACTGTTTTGTCCTTTGTGTATTTGTATTTATTTCCTTTTTATTTTCACCGACAACAACATCATCATAATTGTTTTTAGAGTATTTGTACAATTTCTGTGATCACAAATCAGTCAGAGTTCTATTCAAGTGAAAGCTTATCATCCCAAAACAGAGAGCCCCCGTTTTATATCTCAACTTTCTCAAGAGGATGTGAAATCTCACTATATTAATGGCCTTAATATAAAAGGAGAACGAATGGAAAGTTTACATCTCTTAATTAACAGTACGTTTTACTCTGCTTTCATTTTTTTTCTTCTTTTTAAGTGCATGCTGTGACAATTCAAATCACGGATATTACACATTGTGCGTCAATGAAAGCTGGTACAAACGGGTACTTTAACATAGCAGAGAGGTAATGATTCTCTCTGCAGGGAGAGCATCCTGTTCTCATACAGAGAACATAGTCTTCCACAGGGAGACTTTCGCAGTTGCATTGTATTGCATTTTAAGGTCTTTTTCAATCTGTATAGCTTTGTTGTTCCTCGAATTCAATGGATTGTAACAATTTTTAGAGAATTACGTGGTAGTTAAGAGTGCAATGACTTTTATGTAAAGGCTACACGTGAGTAGCCAGCACATTTCAAGCTAATGTGTAACCTACCCTGATTATCTGACTGCTATTGAGACCCCTGTTACATACAGTTAATAGTAACAATAATAATACTAATAATAATAATAATAATAATGATAATAATAATAATAATAGTAATAATAAAGAATTTATTTATACAGGATAGCACGTAATGGCAACAGGCTAATAAACTTGTGGCCCTCATTTATGAAATGTTGGCCCATATTTATGAAATGATGGCCCCCGATTTATGAAATGAATTATTTCAAACTTATCACACATATCATTTTATCACATATATCTGTTTACTTTTTAGGTTTACCTGGCCAGTCATCCTCACCCTCTGCAAATTCTGTTTTATCAAACGATATTGTCATCTCATGGAATGTACCTACTAATGTAAGGAATGAAGTGGCAGGGTATGTTTTCAAGTGGCGGGGCGATGGAACACCCAGCTTTCAAGAAAAAGTAGCTACGGAGAGCAGATCTGCGACACTTTATAACCTAACACTCTACACCTGGTGTGACATCCACGTGAGAGCAGATAATGACAAGGGACATGGGCCCTGGTCAGTCACATTGAAAGTGAGAACGCAAGAGTCAAGTGAGTACTGACATTAATTTCTCTAAAAAGGTCCATACAGCTCACTGAACCAGTTCCCTCTAAAAATCCTACTCGTGGTTGCCCTCACCATCTATTATCCAGATTTAATATTGGATCAACCAAACAATCCCCTAATATATATTAGAATGGCATACNATATTGTACTGATACTGTAAATAGAAATTAGCTTTTGGTAACTGATGGGAGTTAAAGGGTTTATACATGTTATTAGTTGTTTTCCCTTGTTATAGCGTAACCTGTTGAGCACACAACTGTTCTTTAAAGTTATATACAAATTACAGTAGCAGACTGAGAGGGTATTGTGGAGAAGTTAGTCTTTTTGACTTATGGAAACTTTCTAGGTGTGGATATTGTGTTTTCCACTTGTATTTGTGAACTCAAAGACCCTATGAACCTTAATTGTGCACACTGTACAAAATAATGTGTGATTGTATTTTCCCACACATATAAGCTGTCAATACAAAATTTTAAAGTCTATTTGTACAGCGTTACATCACGTGTCCAATACACGTCAGCAAGTAGGCAAGATATGCTATGAAAAGTGCATGTTTGTTTTACATGTACCACAATCCTGATGTAAGAGGGATTCTCAGGCAATAGTATTTCCTATTACATTCGCCACATTGCTTTTATAAAATGTTGTGACCTGAATACCATCTTTCCGCCGCAGTGCAGTCGAGTCAAACAATGTTTCCTTGCAGGTCTTTATAGAGAAAAAATTAAAACAAAGTTCGGAATAAAAAAAGTTTTAATGGAATCCTAGTGTCATAATTCGCTCTTTTAAGCTACTCATTATCCACACGAAAACCTCAACTCGTCACTGGAACGAAATTCCCCATGGTTAATTTGTAATCTGCTGGATTGCTCCCTAAAGAAAAACAACAGCGACTTCATTACAATTATTTTCCACAATTTTCTCCCGGATATCTTTTACAAGCTTAGACAAAGATAAATAGAACGCATTTTCACGAAGAAAAGGAGATCGTTTGGTCCATTAACGTTCTGTGGAGATTATCAAGCTAATAACTGAGAAGATTGTGTCGACTGGTTCATCAGTGACAGCAGTAATTATTCCAAATCTGTACTCCTCGGTCCAAGCGACACCGAAAAACGAAGAGATGTAATTTTGTAGGCACTTACTATAGCATGTTATAACATAACCAAAGTAAAGCGCGCGCTCTGATTGGTCAAATTGTTGTTGTTGTTGTTGTTGTTGTCAAATTAGCGTCCCCCATTTGCCCATGGGTGTACGCTGCTGACGTAAGCAAATGCAAAGACTACTTTTCCGCGCGCGCTTGTTTTTTCTGGTCGCGTAAGATTTGTTGAATAAAAGGGAACTCTTTAGCTACAATGTATCAATGTTATGTCATAAAACAAATGGTAAACACCACAGCGTACACTATTGAGTTATGGATGCACTTGGGAGGTTTGCTAAGCACTCAAGAAGCTAGAGTCGCTCTCGGCTATCGCCTCGAGCGACTCTTACGCTTCTTTCGTGCTTAGCAACCTCCCGCGTGCATCCATAACTCAATAGTGTACGCTGTGGTGTTTACCATTTGTTAATTATTATCCAGGGAGATAAATCTCATGGTTAAAGCCAAGATATTTTGGAGCATGTAAAAGGACTCCCTGAAGAAAGCTTGATATTTGGAAATTTACTGTGATGAAATCCCTGTTCCATTTGCTGTACTGCAGGGATGCTGAGTTGTTTAAAATCTCCACTTTGTGATGGTTTCCGCGTGGTTCATACAAATTGCTATTGTTGCAACTGGGTTTTTACATGTATTACTACCGCTAAAAAGTTGCGATTTATGCTTTTAGATTCTCAGTGTTTACGAGCCATCGATGGAAATTTCATGGAGAAACACAACGTCACGTCACAGTGATAATGTTCATTTTCATGACAAATGACCAGTAATAGGATAGTTTCGTGTACATCAGTCGACTTAAACATGTTTTAGATGACATACAAGCATAACAGTTTCTCTTCAGAGGGCTTCGTTTTACTCAAAATTCCAAGGAAGAAGGTTTAGCAGTCAGAATCTGGATAATATGTACATGATTTCAAGCATGTGTTAGTAGTTACGTCGAGTAGTCCTCAATGTAGGCTGATCAATTTGTTTTGTAAAGATGACAACCAAAGGGGAGGTTTCTCCTCGGATATTTCTCATAAGATAACATTCCTTCGAAGCCTTGCACGTTTCAATTGTCTGAAACTTTTGCTGTCGAAAACATTAGATATAAACATCGCCAAAATATGCAATATCTGATTTCTTAACTTCGTTCGCGTATTGCCCCTATGAAAAGTAGAAGCCAACCCACAGAGATTTTTACATATTTAAAAAGTAGAGTTTTATTACCAACTAGGTAGGCAGTTTTAGTTCCAAAATCGGTGTACGTTTGGAGAAATTCAGATAAACGTTTTCCCTGTTATACCGTTAGAAAAAAAAATTACCGAAACTGTACCGAGATACCGAATCTTTTGGTGCATTAAAATTCACTCTAGGGAAAATTGAGTGCATCAAATTAAAGACGAATGATGTCAATATGCATGGTAGAAGTACCAATTCATAATGTTGTATTTATCTTGAGTTTGAGAAATAAGGATTTACACTTTTTCTGCGATATTTTTGCACGAAATTGAGGCCCAAGGCTTCAAACAGACCTCCGTTGTTACCATGGCAGAAAGAGTGCTGCAACCTTCAAAAAGGGCTTTTTTTTGTATCCCTGTGAATACCAAACTGCGAGCTAAATTTGAAGGGGCGTTGAAAATGTTCACTTCCCAAGATGTTTAATTCTTACAGAGACTTTTACTTAAAAACCACACACGCAATAAAATAGAAACAGAGTACACAATTTTTATTCCTTTGTAAATTGAGATGGAAAGAGTGAGACTGGTTTTTATCTCGAGAAATCGATATGCTGTCACTTCCAATTAATACACGTCTCCGCACGTATTTTTTTCGGTCTCACTTTTCGTTAGAAAAATATCCAACGTGCACTCTATGATGCATTGGAAATATCTAATTAACAACTGAACGCCCAGATGCTGTGCCCCCAGTGTTTAGTAAAAGATCACAGATATCGACAAATTAACACAGCGGTCAAACGTTTGCGCATGTGTGCGCCTTGTAATGGCTAGGTAGCGCGCTTTCAGCCTGTCAGAACCAAACTGTCCCTTTCGGATTATAATCAATCTCACAAACTAGTAAGTCACGGTGTTTTAAAAGGGTTCATCTATTTTCTCCCTACTTTTGTTTCTTTTACATATTCTTACGAACGTTTCAATTTTGTTTTGCATTTTGCACGAAAGCATTTTTTCCTTTAACCTTTTGCGCATTGTCGCGTTCTTAGCGTAGTGTTCAACCGAGACACGAAGAGTATACAAATCGATGGTTTATTTTCCTTTAGTGTCGAATGGTGAAACTACATGTAACTAATATACAGAAAACGATGAAACGAAAACAGAAAACAGAAAATACGACAAGGCAAAAACAATAATATAACAGAGCGATGAAAACTTACATGGATGGTGCTGCGATGAATGTTGAGCTGAGAAACTGAGGTGATAAATTAAGGTGAAACCTACTGAAACTAAAAAACGCAACATACGAGCTGTGAACCGAACGGGCCTGGGAACTAAAACTGACCGAGTGGGTCCCAGGGCCCACTGACAAAAAAGGCGGCAAAACCCGTAACACTCCTCGCCCAAGGACAACGTCCTTGCTTCTTGAACATCCTACTTAACATAGTTACTGTTCTTAACGTCCTGAGATTGTAAGATTAGGACGAGTTCGCTTATAGGACGTTGGTAAGTCTTCCGTACTCCCTCTTTGCAAATCAATACATTTGCTTTTCTAACTTCTCCGTCTTCACTGGTAATAGCTTCAGCGACCCTTGCGAGTTGCCAGTCGTTCCGGTGGGCTTCCTTGTCTCTCACCAAAACTATATCTCCAGCTGTCAGGTTGCGTTCTCGCTTGTTCCACTTGGGTCTCCTCTGCAGGGACTGGAGATATTCCCGTCGCCAACGTACCCAGAATTGGTCCACTAAATATTGTACTCTTCTCCAGCGACGACGTGCATAAAGGTCTTGTGGAACGAAATTCTTGGGAGGTGGGAGAAGCGGGCGAGATTTCAATGTTAACAGCATTGAAGGTGATAGGGGCAGTGGGTCTTCGACGTCGGATAGGACAGTGGCGATAGAACTGGCGTTCACTAAAGCAGAAACCTCGGCTAGCAACGTAACGAGCAGTTCATGGGTAAGTTTAGGGTTCCCAAGCTCTAGGAGCATAGCCTCCGGGACACGACGGATGGTGCTGATCTGACGTTCCCAGACTCCTCCAGAATGGGAAGCATGGGTTGGATTAAAGGACCATTCACAGCCATGGTTAGCAAGATAAGTCTTCAGTGCTCCCTCGTCCATCTCCTGAGATGCTTGATCAAACTCGGATTTAGCTCCGATGAAGTTTGAGCCACAGTCACATCTTATTCTAGCGGTGGGTCCTCGGATGGATAGGAAACGACGAAGTGCACAAATGAATGCGCTTGTATCCATAGACTCAAGAATTTCTATGTGTATGGCACGACTGTTTAATAATAATAATAATATTAAAATTTATAGTGCGCAAATTCCATAAAATGTTCAAATGCGCATTACAAGATTAAAAATTACCATTAAAATAGACTTACAATAATTTAAAGAAACAATGAAAAGTAAACTTAGAATGGCTAAAAAAGCTATAAAAATGCACTACGAAAAAGGTGAGTCTTAAGTTTAGCTTTAAACAAGAGAAGACTAGTCCCCAGCGTTTGGAGTTTGCAACGCCTCCGCTTAGTTGTGTCTTTATTGACCAAGGTCCGAAGACATCACGTCCGAAGTTAGTGAAAGGGGGTGGGGTTTCGGTCCTGTCGGAGGGAAGGTCCGCCATGTGTTGGATGAGTCTTGTTCCTCTAAGCCATCTACATATGAAGCAGGAACTGATGACTTTCGACACCTCCCCATGACCACCAATGACCCAGAAACCGGCTGTGCGCACTGCTCCGTGAGTTATTTGTCGACCTTAATGATGTGTTTTCTCATGTTGATGTCGAACGATTAGCCGAGACAAATGATGCCCTTTCGGGATAAGGGAAGGATGCTTCTCGGGGAAACTGAGATGAGAGCGACGAAGGCGACCACCAACTCTGAGTACTCCTTCAACACGAACGGGTCTAAGCGGTAAAGGCTTGACTTCTTTAACAGGTTCTTTCTTTGTCGCGAACGATCTCGACCTTCGGTTCTCTCCGCTCCTTCGAGCAATTTTATTTCGTCTGCGAAACACTCATTCTGAACGGTCCTAATCATTACCATCTCTGCTTGCATCAACTCCGTTGCTGAAGGGGAGCGTTGGAGTCGTTTGGGCGGTTTTTCTGAAGGGAAACGATGGTCTGTTCTATTGGTCCTGTGCTTGGGTATGTGATCTGCGCTTGCTGCTTTACGCTCTTTCACCATGACAGTTAAATTGGCTAGGGCTTGTCGCAGAGACGTGAAACTGGAAAAAACGACTGAATCTTTCAGCACCCAGTCCCGGTATTGTAACTACATCTGTGGTATAGGTAGTGACTTGACGTCTGAACTCTGGATCTTGCAGGTCTAAGGCGATTTTTTCAACGGTAGAAAGGGTATTGGGTGATGCTTCTCTCAGGAACTCTGGGCCATGTAGCCATCTTGAGTCTTTCAAATGTTCTTCAGTTACTTCCCTGGTTGTGAGATCCGCGGGATTCAAGGTGGTCCCAGCATATCTCCATTGCGTTGGGTCAGAGATGCTTCTAATGACTTGGACGCGATTGGCGACATACACATAGAAGCGCCTGCTGTCATTCTGTATATAACCAAGCGCAACCTTGGAGTCTGTGTAAAAAACGACTTCATGGATTGGTAGATTCAATTCTTCTAACAGCTTCTTCACTGACTGGGAGGACAAGTCGAGGAATTGTTGTCGGTTGCGAGGGAGCCATCCTGGCTTGACCGAACAGGAATGCAACGTTAACGTTTCCTGACTCACTGATTTGGCGAAGGTAGGTGACGACTCCAATCCCGTCTTTACTTGCATCTGAGAATGAATGAATTTCCGAACGTACCACGCGGCCGAAATCCTTGGGGTGATAACATCTAGGAACTGACACAGCTTCTAAGTTGACGAGAGCGTCTCTCCAAGACTGGCACTGACGCATCAATTCATCGGGTAATGGGTCGTCCCAGCCAAGAGGGGTGTAACTGCCTTTTTCCCCATGATCACTAGCTGACGAAGGAGAAGTTTTTCTTTCAAGATAACCGGGGCAGCTAGGGCCAATGGGTCATAGACTGAGTTTATGGTGGCAAGGACTCCTCTAAGTGTAAACGGTCGCTCAGGTAAGGTGATATGGAATGTAAAGGAGTCGCTTTCTAAATCCCACTGAACCCCTAAGGAACGATGAGTCGGGAGGCTGTTATGACGGAAGTCAAGGTTGCAAACACATTTCCCTCTGTCGTCCACGAGTATGGCTTCCATAACAGTAATGGAATTCGACACAACCTTGTGTAATCTGAGTTGGGCTGTCGCTAACATGGCTTGTGTGTTCCTCAGTAACTCTATCGTTTCTTGGTCTGTTGCGCGTGAAGTAAGGCCATCGTGAACGTAGAAATCATTGCAAACGAACTCCCTTGCTGCGGCACCGAACTTCTCCTCCCCTTCTTTGGCCGTCTTTCTCATGCCGAAAGTTGCTATTGCTGGACTTGACACATTCCCGAAAAGATGTACAAGCATCCGGTACTCCACTACCTCCTTCAAAGGGTCATTGTCTTTGAACCATAGGAATCTCAGATAATCCCTATGTTCTGGGTTGACGTAGAATGAGTGAAACATTTGTTCCACATCGCAGAGCAGGGCGACATTCTCCTGACGGAAACGGACGAGCACGCCGAGCAGGCTGTTCATTTGGTCTGGACCTGACAAGAGTTCCTTATTTAGAGACACTCCATTAAATTCTGCCGAAGAATAAAAAACCACGCGGATCTGATCGGGCTTTCTCGGGTGGCACACGGTGAATTGTGGTAGGTACCAGACTTGCCGGCTTCCGTTGGCAGTTTTCAGCTCGTCGGGTGGTACCTGAGCGGCATGTCCGCATTCAAAAATCTTTACCATAAAGACGAAGTAGTCTCTCTCCAACTGTGCATTTCTCTTGAATGAACGCAATAAGCCATATAAACGACTTACAGCTTGGCTCTGGCTGTTAGGTATGACGACGTTGCTTTTACGAAAAGGTAGGGACATTTCCCAGTTGCCTTGACTGTTCTTGTGGGTCGTGCGACTCATGATTTCTAGGAATTTGTGGTCCTCTTGAGACAGACTGACCTTGTTGTCGTGTGGGGTTCTATGGTAAACGTCTGGGGCGATCTGTTGCCCTCCGGCATACTCTTCTTTGATCACGAAGTAACTGAGGCAGGGCGTTGTCATGTAACATGGAGAGCTTTCTCGGTTTAATGCAAGGTCACGATTTTCTTGGTTGAGGTGTGGTCGATTTGGCTCTGGGATGTTAACTACGATTCGGTGTGCTGAGACATGAACAGGGCCTCCAACTCTGTCCGGGCATACTTGACCTGAGAGAGTCCACCCGAGGTTGAGTTTCTGGGCCCATGGGGCTTCCTTTGGACCATTTCTAAAGGCTCTAACTTTCAAAAGCTCCGGTGCATCACGGCCAATAAGGATTTCAATGTTCGCGTTTGGATCCAAGGGTGGGTTTTGATCGGCTAACTTCTTCAGATGGGAAAAGTTCCTCGCGATTTCTGGAGTTGGTATCTCGCTTTTGTCACGCGGAATGTGGTCGCATTCTGCTAACGTAGGTAACTTAAACAGTTCTCATCCGATGGACTTCACAAAGACCTTAGCAACTCTACGGCCGTATTTCACCTCCTTTTCGGCACTAAAGGTGGACAGAAGAAACTTCTGCCTGTGACAATCAGTTCCTAGCATGTTAGCGAGGTGAGGTGACACCATGGAGGCGTTACTTTGATGGTCGAGGATGGCATATACTCTTTGGACAACGTCTGGCCGTTTCTTCTGAAAGACGTCTACGAGAACGGTTTTGCTGCATGACAGTCCTCCATTCCTGGTTTGGCAGATCGAAATGCAAGTTCTTAGCTCCCTGCCGTTTTCTTCGGTTGCTGGTTTCCTTTTCTCCGAGTGTAGCGGTGTGTTGTAGAGATTGCTTCCGCATTTCTCGCAGCGGAAAAGCGTGTTACAGTCCTTCGCTTGGTGTTCTAGTGAAAGACATTTGAAACAAAGTCCCGCCCTCATAATCCAATCTGTTCTGTCCGCCAGGGTCTTGCGTTCAAAGGCTTTACAGCTTGCTAGGTCGTGGCCTCTTGAGTCGTGAAATAAATAGCGTTTCTCTGTGTTTGGTGTACTACTGGTATTTCTGGCTATGGATTTAGTTTGTGACACGAAGACCTTTGCATTTGGTCTCAACGTTGACCGGCTGTTCTGTACTTCTTTGGGTTTGGTTTCTTTAAGCGTGGTTACTCCTCCTTCCAGGATGTTAGGGTGGTTCTTCAGAGTGGCTTGTTTCTGTATCATAACGGCGAAATCATGGAAGCGGGGGTAGTCATTGTGATTGCTTTCAGCATACTCAGCGACTTGCTTCTCCCATTTAAGTCGTAGATAGGAGGGTAGCTTCTCTACGATGGGCTTAATGGCATTTGGATAGTTCAAGCAGGCAAGACCAGGGAGAAAATCCATTTGGCTGTCTTCGTTGGCGCAAGTATCAGCGAACACCTGTAGTTTCTCCGCTTCCCTTTCACTGAGTTTTGCTGCTCCACTCAGTTTCGTCAGTAATTAAGGTGTTGGTGATAACTGCTGAATTTCTGAACCGTTTTTCGAGTTCAGACCAAGCTTCTTGTAAGAGGGAGGTGGGTTCTCTGTACTGTCTCCTGCGGTAACCATCCACAAACCTCTGTGGGTCGCCCTTAGTGTACTGTCCCAGATAGTTAATCTCATGGTCGGGGGATATGTTGGCATCTTGTAGCATCGCCTTGAACGCACTTTTCCACGGGTGGAATAAGGTAGCATCTCAACCAAATGTATCTGGAGGACATTTTGGTAGGCTCTGTCTTGCTAGGCTGGCAGTCAATTGCTTGTTAGTGGCCACGATTGCTTCTAAGCATTCGATTTTTCCTAGGGTTTTGGGTGTCTGTGAGAGGGGTGTGTACTGGTTAGACTTGGGTCTCTCCTGGGGTAAGCTGTGCATTTGCGTTGGAAGGTTAATTGGCACTGTGGTGTCGCCATCATAATTTCTTTCCAACCCAGAGGTTACAGGTACTTCTGGAGGCGTTGCGTTAGGCTTGTCAGCGATGTGTGTGGTTTCGTTGACCCATGCTTGAGTTCGGCGTCTTGTGTCTTCAGTTGTACTAGCACGGGAGAGGGGGTGAGACCTTTCTTCTTCTTCTTCCATTGACCTTTCGATGGCAGTGAGTTTGGCGTCAGCTATAGCGGCAAGCTTCTCGGCGGCTAATACTACCATGTCTCGATCGTATTTGGCACGACGTTCTTCCCGGAGGCGCTCGTCTTCAGCCTCGCGTTGTCTCCTTTCAAGTTCGTTTTCTGCCATTATTCCGTCGTATTCTGCTTGTTTTTTAGCAGCGGCAAGATCTGCTAATGCTTTCGTTCTCGCAGAACAAACTGACGAGCGTGACGATGATGTACGTGACGAGCGTCGAGATTTGCGTGACGTGAAGTCGTCCTCCAAATGATCATGAAACTGTACAGACTCTGCTTTGCACAATGCGGTTCGTGCATATTCAAGATTACTTTGACCAAATTTTCGCACACGTTCAGCTTCGCTTAATGCATCGCCCCACTTGTCTTGTGCGTAGAGGCCTTGTAACTCACTTAGAATTTCTTCATACTTTTGTGTGGGGCGCTCTAATGCTGACTTATCGATGGCACTAGCTTTCTCGTGTAGGGCGGCGTAAACGGAATCGGCGGTCTTCTGAAGTGTTTTTCTTAGCTTACCCAATTCGGTGGTTTTTTCCTGAATAGCGCTTTGGAGAGCTATCCTAGAGGGGTGTCGTTGACGTTTCTGCGTGGTTCCTTGAGAGTTTGAGTCCGCTGGCTGGAAAAATGGCGGGCTCACTGGTGTGTGACTATACGTGTTGGCGACCATGGCGAATACAAGCTTCGTAAATTGAATTCACAGTTGCGTACCTGAATTAAATGTTCCAATCTACTCCGAACTCCAAAGGGGGCAGCTGATTGCTAAGCCATCCATTTTCACTGTCGCGTTCTTAGCGTAGTGTTCAACCGAGACACGAAGGGTATACAAATCGATGGTTTATTTTCCTTCAGTGTCGAATGGTGAAACTACATGTAAATAAAATACAGAAAACGATGAAACGAAAACAGAAAACAGAAAATACGACAAGGCAAAAACAATAAAGTAACAGAACGATGAAAACTTACTTGGATGGTGCTGCGATGAATGTTGAACTGAGAAACTGAGGTGATAAATTAAGGTGAAACCTACCGAAACTAAAAACCGCAACACACGAGCTGTGAACCGAACGGGCCTGGGTAAGAAAACTGACCGAGTGGGTCCCAGGGCCCACTGACAAAAAAGGCGGCAAAACCTGTAACGCGAATAACGGACCAGAATTTACTTCCTCGTTATGTATATCTGACGTTTGAGTACTGTGTTAGCCGAGCTACTGCTATTAATGTTTCTTACAGGTATGGTCATTGTAGAAGATACGTAATTCCTTGAAATTCAGAAAGTCTTAAGCACTCTAAACAACAAACGTGTCTAGTTACAATGATGAGGTTGAGATCGGACGTCAGCATTATCAGGCGCCTCTGGCAGCCGCTTCAGTCCATGCAACGATCTCACCTTCACTCCCATCCCACCCAAGGGGAGGACATCCACCACACAGTAATCTCGTGAGTGGGAAATAAACGTCTCCTACCCCTAACCTTGCAGGAGACGGTGTCTACGGTTTATTCGTCCTTATCCGAGAAGACTAGAATATCTATCCATTTCTTGATATCATAGAAAGGTAGCATTTTCTCCTCACGTATTTTAA